TGAGTTTTGCTAAATGAGTTTATATTAATGCTATATATTTATGATTCGTATTTGACAATGTTGTTGATAAGGTTTAATGATGTGATTGACAAACAAATATGAACTATAGATTGGGATGAAAATAAATTTAATTGAATGTTATTTCTTGCAGCAATAAAGTTAGATTTTGTAAATATTGAGTTTAAGGTTTTGAAAGTGAGTTTGTTGAGTAAAGAGTAACAAATGATAATCATTGATTATTGGTATTGTTATGTAAAGGAGTATGGGCATTTGATTTGATTGATTATTCGATGGATGGGCTGTGTGTATTGATTGATATATATATCATAGTAATAATAATAATAATATTGTGATATTTAAACAGGTAGATAGTCCTATTTTTAGGGGAGGTTTTGCCGAAATTTCGATAGAACCTAGACTAGTTTTAATTTTAATTTGTAAACTTAATGGTGAATGTTGAACTATGGGTGTTTAAAAGGGAGTTGGGAATTAAATTGATTGATTGCCCGACGCGATGGGCTGGTGTATTTGATTAAATATATAACATATATTGTGATATTTAAAACAGGTAGATAGTTCATATTTTTTTAGGGGAGGTTATGCCGAAATTTCGATAGAACCTAGATTAATTTTAATTAATAACATAATAAATAAGCTTTATTTAGATAAATTCTATAATTGGATTACAATAATAAATTTAAAGGGTTTCTAATTATTTATTTATTATTCATTTATTAATCATTTAATTATTTCATTATTTATTTATTTATTTTTCTCATTATTATTGTTATACTATTATTTATTTATTATTGTTGTTTATTGTTAATGCCTACTTATTTATTTATATTGCATGTTGGTTTTGGGATGTCGTAAATTGTTGGCATTGCTTACGATGTTATAATGATTAACATGCTTGCATTTGATTGCAATGTTTTTGATTAATTGTGTTTTTTAAAATGCTATGCTTCTGTTTGTTGTGGAATTGGGATGAAGTGACCACCAGGGTTTGTGAGGACGGTCTGTGATATGGATCCCCTGAATATGATATGATTAGTTGACCGACGGCGGGAAAATGGGTGAGATCGGCGCCCCCTGTGCACCTGACGATAAGATTATTGGAATTCACAGGGGGGGGGGTGGCTTTATTCCCTTTTTTTTTGGTTTGTTTCGGCCCCCAACCCTTTGATAATCTAGATTTGATTGTAGCCGACAGGGTTGGCCTCCTGCTGTGAGCGCTTGCATGATCTAGATTTGGATGGAGCAACCACCGGGGTTGCCTCCTTTTGGTATGGAAAGAAAAAGAGAGAATGGAAAAATAATGACGAGGAAGCTGGTTCAGTGAGGATTAGACCAGTTGGCCGTATGGGGATCGCGGCTCCCTGGTGCACTGTATGAGGAGTGCGAGCCATGTGTGAGGACGGCTCGTTGGGTTCACGTGTGCCGCACACTGACTAAATTTCCACGTGATGTTGATTATATGAAGATGTTGCATGATTGTTGAGTGCTGCATGATTTTATGCCATTTGTGTTGACTGGGCTGCGTGAGCACTATAACTAGTCGGCATGACTAGATTAGATATGTGTACACATTTGTGTTGACTGCGTTTTTGTGCAATAAATTATTACTCCTTAGAAAATCACATGTCTTGTTTTAAATTTTTTCAGGAAAAGTAAGTTTTTCTTTTAATTCGGTGTTTAAGCTATGTTTCTTCGGCCGCAGGGTTATTAAAAGTTTTCCTAGTTTCCATTAATTGTTTTTGCTATGTAAATTATATGTATTAGGAAGCTTGTGTATAACAAAACAGTTAGTGACTCCGCAGTTGTTAGAATTTTAACATACAATCTAGTTTCGTGTAGTAAATATAAGATGAAGTAATTCTGTTAGCCTATACTAAAAAATGTGTTGTATTGTAAATGGGCTCAAACTGTGAAATGTAAGCAACGATTTAAACCTTGGGCTGAGAAATAATAAAAATTATTGAGGTTTATTCATAATTCATCATGGGAACAGACCGCTATGTGAAATTTAGACCGAGATAATAGTATTCTAGTGTTTCAGGGCTTACTACGGGCCTCGGGCCTTAGCCTTAGTGTTTCAGGCTTACTACGGGCCTCGGGGGCCTTAAGCTTACCTGGGCCCTAGTGCCGGTCCGACCCATGGAATCGGGTCGTGACAATGATGCACTCACATTACTTTCTCTATCCACAAATATAAGTCATATGGTTATACGGGATAAAAAAAATAATTAATTTCTCTAAAATTTTAACAACATATTCATTAATTTGATTAAATTACATTTTATCCCTTTATCTCACATTATTATTTCAATATAATCAATTGCATTTAACATAAATGAGGATAGAATTTAAAACAAATTTATTAATTACTCTTAGATATTATCGAAACGATATATACACTTAGAACCACGTATATTTGTGGATAGAAGAAATAATATATTTCTTAATATTTATGGCAATGTTAGAGAAAAAAAAAAAAAGAGTAGTGAATCTAAAATGGAAAATGATTTAATGGACAACATATTTTATGTGGTGTAAGAATATCAAATTTATCTAGAATACAAAGATGGGACACAGAGAGATCACACCCTATCATCATAAAAGATTTTCCTTAAATTGTCATTCCTTAATTTCAATTTCTCACCTAAAACTCAAATTAAAATCAAGTCTAAATTCTAATTTGGTCTCAAAAAGATTATTGTTAAAAACAATAAAAGAAGAATAAGAAAATTCCACTCAAAGATAACCCTATCCATTAATTTAAATGAGTTACACAATTGGCTTGCTTAATTGTTTTATTGTAATTTACACAGAATCCATTAAAGATAACCCTACCCATTCAATTTGAATTATTTTTATCACAAGACATTAGCCTTTAGTCATTTCAACTAAGCATCATCTGTTGTTAATGATAGTTGACAAAAAAAATTTGTCAACTCTAATTGTAAGATAGTAACAAAGTATGAGGAGATTTTAGTAATTAAATAATCATTCTACTTTACCTTTTCCTATTTTTACAGCCACGTATATAAATTCATCTATGAATTTTATTACTTTAATTTTATAGCACTCTCAATTTTTACTTTGATCCATCAAACACTTAAATTTATAAAACTATATCTATTAAGTACTTTAATTTTCAAAATTATTTTATTGAATACCTTAACTTGCAAAATTAGATTAACTAAACACTTATTAAAAAGTCAAAATTTATGAAAATTATTGTTTTAAAAGTCATACTAACTACATAGCAATAGCAAGTCAACATTAAAAGTTAAAAGCTCTAAAGATTGTTGTGGCCTAATCTTTAGTTTCACCCGGAATTTTTCGAGCCGTTACAATTTCACTCTAAATCGACTTTAGTATCTTGGACACTCTGAATTTATTAACTTACTTGCAATTATACCCTAATTTGAATTAATATCCAACTCATTATTTTTACATCTTAAAATTGGTTTAATTTTAAAATCAAATACTCAATCTTGATTTTTTTTTATATTTATTATATGAATACTTGACTTTGATTTTATTATTTATTGTTTAAATATTTGGATATGAGGTCTATTTTTTATATTATTTTAATCACAATTCCGATCTTAGTTTACTTTTAAGGTGCAATTGTAACAAATCGACAAGTTTAGGGTGTTCTAAGTCACTTTTAGAGTGAATTGCACCTAAAAACAAATTAAAGTGTAATTGCAACTAGGTTGATAAGTTTAGGATGTCTAGGGTATAAATATTGATTTAAAATGAAATTACAACTATTTGAAAAGCTCAAAGTGAAAACGAAGGTTTCGCCGATTGTTGTTAGTATCGATATTTGTGTAATATTACCAAAAATATACAAATTTAAATATATGATAAGTCATCCGTAAAATTGAAAGATATGAATACTTGACTTTGATTTTATTATTTATTGTTTAAATATTTGGATATGAGGTCTATTTTTTATATTATTTTAATCACAATTCCGATCTTAGTTTACTTTTAAGGTGCAATTGTAACAAATCGACAAGTTTAGGGTGTTCTAAGTCACTTTTAGAGTGAATTGCACCTAAAAACAAATTAAAGTGTAATTGCAACTAGGTTGATAAGTTTAGGATGTCTAGGGTATAAATATTGATTTAAAATGAAATTACAACTATTTGAAAAGCTCAAAGTGAAAACGAAGGTTTCGCCGATTGTTGTTAGTATCGATATTTGTGTAATATTACCAAAAATATACAAATTTAAATATATGATAAGTCATCCGTAAAATTGAAAGTACCCAGGATTAAAATTGTAAAGTTGAGAGGTATATATTTAGCCCTATTTTTACGTAATAGGTATTCTCAACTGGGGGATTTTAAAATTATTACTTTCTCACATGAGTCTTATTCATCCAAAAGATATTATTTTTATCTTGTGAATAAAACAAAGCTATAATAAAAATATATTCGTATTTGAAACCTCTCACTTTATATATTACTAAAAAATAATTAAGTAATACTAGATTAAGTATAAATTGTTGTTTTTTAATAAAATTAAAGTAAACTAGGTATATAAATTCATCCGTTACCAATAAAAATAAAAATTTTTTAAAAATAGGCTCTATCTTTTTTTTTTTTTCCAATGCTGCTAAAAATACCTTCATTTCAAAAGATTATATTTCATTGTTAATCTATAGATGGAGCCATACACTGAGTCCCAACAAGTGATTCGTGTTATCTTTTTATTCTATTTTTTGTCCAGAAGAAAAATCCAAAATTCAAAAGGGTATTTTCTCAAAAGAAATTCAAAAGGGTAATCTGGGGTTTCTAACAAACAGACAGAATAAAAAGGGAACCGTAAGCCCCGCCAAATTTTAGACGAACGATGACGATTACTTTCAAATTGAAGGGTGGCCACAATTCGGTAGCGCACGTTAGCCTGCCAAACCACACATCACTATCTTACTCCACACGGCACAGTACGCACTCATAAATCGCTCCATGGGATCAATAATTCAATGCAGAGCAAAAGCCCCGCCCTTGCAAGGCAAAGAGAGTTGTTAAAAAGAAAAAAGGACAGAGTGACTCAGTGAGTTAAGTCAATAATGGAGGGCGAGCCGACTCGGGTGATGATTGCAGTGAACGAGTCAACAATCAAAGGTTATCCACATCCTTCGATTAGCAGCAAAGGAGCTTTCGAGTGGACTCTTAAGAAGATAATTCGCTCTAACACTGCTGGTTTCAAGATTCTCTTCCTCCATGTTCAAGTCCCTGATGAAGACGGTTCTTTCTCTAACTTTTTTGAGTTTTTGAATTGAACTGTTTAGTTAGATGTGATCGATTTGATTTTTAAGTTCAATACTTAAAACTTCATTGTATTATCTGTTTCTAATTTTTGAGTGCAAAGAGGAATTTTAGAGATTTAATTAGATAGATTACCGCTTTTTATTTTTCATTTCGGGTGCTAAATGTGTTTTTGGTTTCTGTTGCTGTTGATGTTTTTACATTTCTGCTCTGTTTGGTTGCCGAGAAAAATAATAGAAACGAGTAAACTGACTACTGAAATAATTATAGGATCGGTTAGGATAGGGAAATCTCTTCAAAAACTTTGTTAGTGATTTAAGTTGCTGTAGAGTGTAGAAGCTGCTTTGACTAGGTTTCATTGGCTGAGTTTTTTCTTAGAAGTGATTGATCATGGCATTTTTTTGTGTCTATAACACCCTAAAGTAGTTGCTAATTACTATGTAGGTGTTTGATTAGTTATTTTAGAAGGACCATTTGTTGTGTGTATCTTCTCAGAGCATAAATGCTGCACTTGATATGTTTGGGGTTTGCAGACAGTGAAAGATCATCCGAATCGATTACTGTGTACACTGACTTTTCTTTATTGGTTAAAGTTTATCTCAGTTTGCTTAAAAATGGAAAGGAACTATATGTGAATGATGAAAAAATTGACATATTTGTCATCTATATATTTTGATATCTGAATTTATACTTGTAGGGGATTCTAATTTAGTTACATAGCTTTTGATATGATAATATTATGGGGTAGTTGTTCAGAGAAGTTTAGTTGATGCCGTGCTTCGTTTGATTGGATACTATCCCATAATTTTTTTATTTGATATCTTATTTATTATTCTGAATGAATTTCTGAGGTATATTTCTTGCTTACTTTTCTTCTATATATCTGTGGCAAGTTATGTGGCTGTGTTAAAAATTTTGTGATTGATTTTTAGAATATACATTAGAATTAGCAACTACATGGTATAATATTTATTGGGAAAGTCAACTGCAGCATCAGTTGGTAATAAGGTAAAAGAAACCTGTGACATTTGTTGCAGATACGAGATAGTTTGAATGCATGTAAAAAAGAATAAACGGTAGCTAGATTGTGTTAGAAGGCATGGTTGACTTGGTACTAAGCTGTTGTTATGTTGCTATTTAATTATTTTTATTTTTCCTGTATTGATGTGAATAATGAAGGTGAGCTTGTTGGAAAAAAAAAAAGAAAAAAAGAAAGATTGCAACACTTTGACCTTGAGGGCATAGGTTTGTACCATAAAGCGACCACCTTGCTACACAAGGTGAAGGCTCAGAACATATGCCAGTTCATAGAGCTTGTAATGTGGAAGCCTCATTCTATTGTAATACATTAGCTGGTGTAGGTGGTGCTATAATTTTTCTATGATAGTTGTATTATTCTCTCAAGTATGCTTATCACATTATGGTTCTCGTAATCGGGGTTGGGGTCCAGGTTTGATAATCACTTTTAAACAATTTCTTGATATCCAGTTTAGTTTTCTGAGATAACAGGAAAAAAAAATAAAAATAAAAACGATCAACTTGCAGTCTCATTTTATCTCTTATTATTACTTGTGTTGTGACATATGGTCAAGTTCTTATGAGTGCACCTTGTTTTTCAACCCCCTCAACCATGAGTATGCTAAATAGTTCTTAAGTTCTAAAGTATGTCCTTTAAAACCTATTTGACATAATAGTTTCTTGCCCAAACAAGCTGTATTGAACAACAGCTTTAGCTTTGAGTTATTAACTAGTTACCAGTTATGCTTACTCTTGTGTGGTACATCCTGCAAATGAATGCCCTAAGCAATATGTCTTTCAGGTGGTGGATTTGACAGTTGTCTTGTTGAGTATGGCTTTTAACATGTTACATGAATGGGATATCTGCTGCAAAGAAGCATTAGCTGAATTAATCCTAGTGCTGCTAACATTTTAGTGAGGCAACGTTTTTTTTAGGGGAGCAGTGAAGCATAATATTTGCTTCTTTTTTTTTATATATAAATTATTTCAAAAAAATTTTTCTCCAATTTATATTTGCTTTGCATTGCTATTATTTGATTAAAGTGGAAATTGAAAACAAAAAAATTTATATAGCCACCCCAAACTAGTTTGGGACTAAGGCTTAGTTGTTATATAATCGAGCATCGAAAGTAAGGAAACTACTAAATATGTTTAGATCCTTGAGTCAGTTTAAATTTTGAAGATCTCCAACATTTTACTATTCCACGTATGACTTCCATCGTTTTTGTTCTTTCCATATTCCAAAATCTGCATTGCTCTTGTAATGAATCTGAAACATTCCTTGATAATGGATTCTTGTACGTTCCTGCTAGGTTTTGATGATATGGATAGCATTTACGCATCTCCTGATGATTTTAAAAGCATGAATAAGAGGGACAGGGTGAGAGGACTTCATCTGCTGGAGTACTTTGTGACTAGATGTCATCAGATTGGGGTAATAGAACATTTCTTTTGTGCTTGTATTCAAATCTAATTACATTATTGCATGACTACTAAAATTCCTAATTTACTTGAAGTTTCTTGCAATAATTTCCTATGGTATCAAGGTCAATATAGAGTAACACAATGATAATTTCCTATGGTATCAAGGTCAATATAGAGTAGCACAATGATAATTTCCTATGGTATCAAGGTCAATATAGAGTAACACAATGATAATTTCCTATGGTATCAAGGTCAATATAGAGTAGCTACATTGTGTTATATTAGTTTCCAATAGCTTCAATTAGTTTTAGTTTTTGCTTGACTTTCACTAAATTTTTATAGGTTGCTTGTGAAGCATGGATCAAGAGAGGTGATCCAAAGGAAATAATCTGCCATGAGGTGAAACGAGTGCAGCCAGATTTCCTGGTTGTTGGAAGTCGCGGTCTTGGTCCTTTCCAAAGGTACCTGTCACTCATTTTGTTCACAAAACTGCATAACCTTTGCCCTAGCTATCTTATAAGATTATACTAATGCAGCATTAAAAATACTCAAAAAACTTTTTATCTCGGCCTTTTGAAATGGAAATTATGTTTGTACCTCTTAAATAGAAATTTTCATCTGCTAACATAATTTGCAGGGTTTTTGTTGGAACTGTGAGTGAATTTTGCCAGAAGCATGCAGAATGCCCTGTTATCTCAATCAAACGTAAAGCTGAAGAAACTCCTCAGGATCCTGTTGATGACTGACTTCCTCATGCTCAGCCGGATTATTTTCACTGTGTTGATAAACTAAGAACACTAGAAATGTATTTGGAGTTAAGGGCATTTGTTTTATGATATTTGCCTGCAGATGCACACTATTGCGTCTATATAAATATGAAATTAGTAACCTTTCGCTATTTGCTGGAAATATATTGCTTCCATCGTTCGTCTCGGCGCAGTCTTGAGCCTCGTTTGTGAAGCTGACTGGCATTACAATCTTAATCAGGATCTGTCTCTCCTATAGTGTTTATCCGTCTTAAATTATTATCATGTTTTTTTTCTAAAATTACTATTTTGACCTTTATTTAATATACTTCTCTGTCAGCAAGTATAATAGTCAAAATTATCACTATTTCTTTTAAGAATTATATTGTCATTAATTAAATCTTGATATAAATAAAATTGATATATTGACCTTTAATCTTTTAATAAAATTTTATTTAATCAAATATTTGATTAATTTTAAGAATAATTTAATATAAGATAATTTAATTTATATGGATATTAAACAAAACGTATATTAAAAAAATGAAATAAAAGTTATAGTTTAATTATATTTTAAAATTTTTAATCTCCGTGCAAGTCAAAACCAAGACAAATTATGGGACGGACCGAGAGAGTAACAGTAAAATCAAGCAAATGGCGACACTAACACGTAATTCTTGCAAGGATAGAGAGAAGGATCAATTCAACTAGCTCATACTTCTCCATACGTTATCCCTGCCTACAACAGAACATGCATCTTTGCATCCACGCATAGAATTAAACAGATCCATCTTTTTGTTAAACATAACAAAAAAATATCATTAAGAAAAAGGAATTAATCAATTAAAAAAATTCCCACCAAAACTTTAGCAACATGGGTAGAAAAAAGAAAAATTAACAATTGGATGTGAAGAATGACACAGTGTGTATTCTTAAATTTGCATGTCCAACTTTTGCAATACAAAATATATATATATATATATATACTACTGACTGATTCCTAAATGTTGATGTTCTCCATCTGTATCACATAACCTCTTCTACACTATATTAACCATACGCACCACAACAATAAGAACGATATATTGTTACATGCATGATAACCTAACAAAAAGTAACATATTATACCTACACCTGCATATAGGATTTTAATAACTGTGTATCACCAACCAAAAGGCTTACTGTCTAATTTCATTTCCAAGTCTAAGATGAAGAACTGGCCATTATACTTACTTTCTCCAAAAGCACTTTTATTTCACCTTCTAAAATGGATTTCAAATCTGGGGATATTTTCCCATCTGATGTCTCCAGCAATGATTTTATCATCTCAAGCTTCTGCTTTATATAGTTCAGTGGCGATACATCATTGTCGGTAGACTCTAACACAAATGACATGTCTGGAGCCTTTGTTCCTAGCTTGCTTTTTGTACTTGATATGTCTCTTAGTTCCCGAGTCTTGGTTTCAGCTGAAAGGTAACGGAGCCGGAAAGTTGCATTGGCTGCTTTAAAAGGACTGGAAAGTTGAGAATCATTGAAGGCTTCTTCTGCTTCAGAACTCTTCAAGAAGACAACCCTGGCACAGTAATTAGTATAATACATCTCAGTTTGTTCTTCATTTAATGCCCCGAATTTACTGTATAATTTAATGAGATCATTCTTTGATGGCAAAGTAGATCCTGGACCAAATGTCACATAAAGGGCAGCATCTGGAGCTTCCACAGTAGAATCCTTGTCCTTTGACTTCATGTCTGGCGCATTTGCAGCTTTTTTTACTTTAGGCTTAACCGATTTTGCTTCTTCATTCTTTTTCGTTTTCTTGGATTTATGATCAGAGGAACTGTGATCACTCTGATTTTGCTCCTCTACCAATGGAGCAGGTTCAGATTTTTGGGGCTTCCTCTTTCGTCCTGGCTGACGTTCACTATATATTTCATGATCAGACCCATTGCAATAGATTGAACTTCTGAATGCAGAAAAAAATTCCTCAGCGAATTCAAGAGAATTTCTTTCATTCAGATTCTGTGGATTAAGAGCTGCAGACCTTATTTTAGATAGAACTTCATTAGCAGGTGCCTTAACTAGCATGGGATCAAAGTTGATCCCATCTTGTTTAGGTGTTTGGGGAATTGAGTTATCAGGTGTCTCGTGTTCTTGTCCAGATTCTCTAGAAGGTTTCTTCACAAATCTCTCACCACTGAACTTCAAAGTTGGAGAAGGCAGAGTAAGGTGGCGAGCAGCCTTGGTCAGTCGTTCTCCTAACCGAGCCTCACTTGAAACTTTCATGGATTCTGCTTCTATTTCTTGCTTTCTCAGTCCTTTACTAATATTTGTGTAAGGAGGGCATAGGTACTTGCTCCTTTTCCTTTCCCTCAGTAAAGAACCCTTCTTTTCTGCCGACACAATGTTCTCCTCCATTTCTTCATTTTTGTGTCCATCACTATCACCTTCAGCAACAGAACTTGACTTCTTCTTCCTTCCTCGACGCTTCATGCCTTCAGTCTTCACCATGCCACTATCAATCGCCTCAAGGCTAGTGATTTTGTTGTCTGCTAAAACAAGAGATTCAGAAACCTTTGCATCTTTCATCGCCCTTTGTTTTGAAAACAAATCACTGCTGCCAATACTATTAACATCAGCATCATCACAGTCTTTTCCCTTTTCTCGTCCAGACGAAGACAGAGGTTTGGCCAAGTCTGCACCTGCATTAGCCACATCCTCCATCTTATTTTTGCCTTCACTATCAGTTTCATCACTTACTTTCCTCTTTTTCCTTCTAGACAAAGATGCAGGTTCGCCAAAGCTTGATTCTTCTTTAGTCACATTCATCGCCCCAATTTTACCTTCAGCATTCATGTCTTCTCCCATGAATTTCCTCTTCTTTCTCTTAGCTAAAGATGCTTCTTTGCTCGACTTTGTTCCTTCTTCAGCCAAAACATCATCTTTATTCTCAGCCTCACCATCCAAAATTTCAGCAAGACTTTTCTGCTTCCTTCTCTGATATTGTCCATCCTCAGAAACCCCTTGGCACTTACGAAACATACTTTGAGAGGTTTGGTCATTTTTAAAGCTTGTTGGTGAAGAAAGCCAATCTTCTTCAACTGGACCATGAATTCTTACTTCCAATCCACTATTATAATCACCTGAGTCCATCCAATTTCTGGTGTCATCTTCAAGACCTAGAATTGGCTTTGGTTCATAATAAGAAGGCAGATGGTATCCTTTTGAACGATAAAAAGCCGATAAACAGCTCTTTAATAAACTGAACTCTAGCATGTTATTAACAGTAGCAACCTGTGCACTACATTTTAATGCGGCAAGAAAATCTGCTGGTTTAAACAAATCAGTTAAAAACTTATCAATTCCACCTTCAGGCACAAGAAGTCCTTCCTTAATTCCTGCATTTACAGCCAATGTTCTACCAAATCCAATCAAATTCTCTTTTGGCACACAATAACAAGTCATCTTCAAGTCCACAAGTCTACCAACCTCATCCACTGCTTTCTCTACTGCATTTAAAAAGTTCTTGGAGCTACTTTGCTTTGACATCTCTACAAAATTCTCATCCAAAGGCTTCAACTGCGATGGGCTGCACCATGCAAAAGTTCCATCTCCAAAGTAAGCCACAAGAATCTTATCCCTTTGTTTAACTTTTTTTGCCTGATCAGATGCATCTGAAGGATCATAAACCCGCCCTGGCCACCAAGGATGACTCTTAACCTTTCCCCATACAAAATCACCAACACCAAACTTATGCCCTTCATTTTCCATCTTCTCCTCCTCTTTCCTATTCTCAATCAAGTCACCGATATTCCCATCTATGCACCCTTCATTTGCATCCAATGATTTGCGTTGCGGACTCCTATGGACAAATTGGCTCTTTTCTTTCACATCACTCGAATGAAAATCCCCACAGATATCAGCAACAAGAGAAACGCCATGACCACTTTGAAAATCCCTTTTCTCACTCTTATCAATAACATCCAAAACAGAGCCTAACCCTATTAAATTCTTACTTTCTTGCATCTTTAACAATGAAGAAACACCATTCATTTCCGAATCCTCAAGACCACCTCCTACTTCTTTATCACCCAAATCGACAGCATATCTATCAACTAAAGCTTGACCCCCAACAGGCCCATCATCCAAATCACTACTATCAAAACCTTCCTTTCCATTTATAGAAACCCCAATTCCATTTTCTCTAGAATTTTTAACAGGAGAAGATTTAGAGACTTTAGTACCTGAGTCTGATTTCTTGGATGGTTCTTGTGAAAGAGAGGGACTTTCAGGTAGGGCTTTTGGTGGGGTTCCAGTTCCATCCATTTTCCTGGAAAACATTTCCAAAAGAAAATCAAACTCCAAATTTTTATTAAAAAAAAATATAAACAAATATTAAATCACTACAGTTCCTACAAGAAACAAAATTTTCCCCAAAACCAAAATATCTTACCAAAAGAAAATAAAAAAAAAATCGACTAACAGATACAATTACCATATCAAGAATCTAAAAGATAAAGATAAAGAAAAAAAATAGAAAAGAAAATACCTTAATGAAGAAGAAAAGTAGGGTTTTTGCGGCTTCTTGTGGATTTATCTACACCATTTTTGCTGTTACGGAATCTTAGCAGAGTAAAAATAGCTCCAGAATGAATAAGAGACAGACAAGAGATGATTTTTGAATTTGGTCTTAGGCAGACATGAATTTACCGTTTCCCGACAAATTAAAATATCGCAAGTAAAATCCATAATTTGACGAGTTATTGGAGTGGTGAATTTTTTTGTTCAACAAATATATATTTTTTTCCTGTCATTATCGGGAGGTGTGGGACCACGTTTTTCTGTACCGTCAACAGATAAAATCAGTCACTTTCTCGAGTAGAGATATTGGTTTACTCGCTAAATTTTACTGCCACGTATTCACTGTGCCAGGTTACATGTTCGTGGTTGATTATTCTAGCGAGTAGAATGTAATTTCTGGAGACTCAAACGTGGTAGTGAATTGGAGAAGCTAAAAGTTTATTCGTTGCTGATGATTGACACGTGTACCATAGGTCCCACGGTGTTTGGGAAACGTTACGATGATTCTAGCGAGAGAAATAGGCAACGGTGCCGTTTTTTATTCCCTGTACACATCTGAATCAACCACTTTGTAGGAAGATTATAGATTGGTGAAGAGGCACCTCCCATCTCCATTTATTTTTCTGATTTGACATTTCACTTTTAAATCAAATTGAGATTTGTAATATTTACCACTATATAATATCAGATTTTTTAAAAAATAATTTACACTAATTAAAAATATTTAAAGTCGAGATTTATGTCCTAATAAAGATTTCATCATTTTTATGGTAGTAATAATATGATATTTCTTAATTCGATAAAATCATAAGTTTAGATAAGAAAAATAAGTGTTAAATATGTAAAATTTGCTTTTTTTTGGAAGAAATAGAAGTTGTATTATTCATACAAGGTAAGCTTATTCGCTTGCCTTCTAATTCAGACCAGAAAAACATTAATCAATTCGCTAAAAATGAGTTGACAACAAAAATACTAAATTCGGATAAATCTATCCTATTATTCTTTATAGTATAGACAAGTAATGAATCCGTTTCAATGGCAGATGCGAAGAGCTGCAAATGCAATTTCTTAAGCCAACACAACACCTCGTAACTTCAGCCAATATAGGGTCGGCTCCATGATATTAGAAACGTGACCTGAAATTGCAGAAATGAACATTATTGCATTTAACATGAATATCCTCAGGTTTCATCCAAGACTGACCTACAGGCTACAGAAGATGATGTTGTTAGCCGCCGTTGTTGAAAACAAAAGAAAAAAAAATATAAAAAATTAGTTTTTGCTTAATCCCACATCGGGGAGATAAGCAAAGTGAAGTTTTGCTCAATCCCACATCGGGGAGAAGAGCATGTGAGGGTGGTGAATTGGCTATAAAAAGAATCCAAGGTTTAGGTTTCTAAACACACTAAAAACACTTGAATGTGTTTTATATTAGGGATTTAGAGCAAGTTTTTTGGAATCCCTTGAAGTATAAAATATTTGGGGTGTTTTGAGGGTGTCGGGTAGAAAATATTTTGTAATTGTGGTTGTAACAATCTGCCGTATAGTGAATATTTTTCTTGGTTATCGTTTGGCAACGGCCGTGGTTTTTTTCCACTTGGAGAGTTTTTCACGTTAAATTTTCTCCACTTGGGGAGTTTTCCACATTAAATTATCGTGTTATTTATTCTCTTTAATTTCTCAGTCATTATTTTATTTTCTCATTTGTTCCTGCTTGCAGCCGATCCGAAGGGCAAAAAAAATAGCGATTTTCCCAATAAGTAGTATCAGAGCCTAGTTGTTAGGCGCAGCTTTTAGTGTTAAAATAATTTCTTGTAATTTAAATTATAAGTATGCACAATGGTTGCGGCTTAGTCTGATCTTCCACATCAGAAATATTGTTGTTAGAAATTATTTTATTTTAAAAGCAGGTGGAGTTTTAGAAGTCTTGAACGGGTGGAGCTTTGCTTTGGTGTGCTTGAGTACCGGTGGTGAATGTCCTGACGATAATTATTGAAGTTATTCTGGTACGAAAGTTCTGATAATATACTTCCATGTCTAGAAGCCGGAAAGTTTTTTAAGTGGGACCCTACTTGTTGACCCCCCGTCCAAACTGAGTATTTTAACGTGGAATGGTAATACTTTGTCTAGAGAAATCATTGATGATCTTTCCTGGGTAGCCAGATCGGTTTACTTCAACTAATTATGCGTTCACTGTTTATATTAAGCAACAGAGTAATGATGTCGGCTATGAGGATCGTGAGAATTTGAGAAATTTGAGGGAGAATGAATTTTGGCACTGTGGCAAGTGCAAGTCAGAAGACGGTGTTGATTCAGTCCCTAATCTGGCATAAAAGGTTTTGAAGGGTAAACCGCAGTCAGCGGAAAAGAAATATCAGAAAAGACAGTAGGCAGTGGAGACTTCAGAAAAATCCAGATTTAAGCGATGAAGAATGGGAAGGAGCGGATATCAAAGCGGCAAGTGCAAATTCGTTATGGTGTCTATCCAAAAAATGTTCTTGCTAATGTTGCTTGGGGATTGTCCACAGACAAAGGAGTTGTGGGAGAAAACTGGAAGAAAATGTGTAAACCAGGGCAAAAATATATCCAATAGGTTATGAATTTGAAGGAGCAATTCTATGTTAAATGGGGAAGGTATCAAAGCTGTCAGAATCATCCTGAGTGTTAATGTCATCGTCTCTTAATTAGAAACTCTTGGAGTGCAACCGAAAGATGAAGATAAAGCTCATCCGACTCATCACTAGTCACTAGTCCTCGACATAAAGTGAAGCACATGAAACCCTGTCTGAAAATATGGTAGTAAGGAAAGTGGTGTATGCAGATGTGGTTTAGTAAGCTCCTTATCTTTTTTTTTTTTTGAGGAAGAAGAACTGAATAATGAAAAAGAAATCATAATGAGGATTCAGCTTTATTTTGTCGGTACCAAAAGAAAAAAAGAAATAAAGCTCCCGGAAAAGAAGGAAGGTTGTCTGCTGGGTTTGTGTCCAACTTGGAACACGTGAGGAAAGGATTGCCGAACGGTGGAGCTGATCGGCTAGAAAGCTCTAAACGTTGTTGCTGCCATGTGATCTCCTGTGGCGGAATGGGATGATTGTGTTCTCTTTTTTTCTGTAATTGAAGAGATGTGTGTCCTCATGGCATGATTGCTATCCCCCGTTAAGCCATGGAAGAGGATGTGAAATATTGTGTCTGGTTCACGGAAATGCCACTCGTGATTGTTCATTGGTTGAATCTTTTTAGTTTGATGTCATATAGTTGTTGTGGTGAACAAAAAAAATATGTCGATGGCTAAATGAACTATCGGAAAAGCAACAGGTAGGGTTTGCCAGACCAAAATATTAGCCAGTATCCTATCAATGGCCGATGGAAAATTCTGGAGTTCGGTTAAAGTGGTTCCGAAAGTGGCGATAACCTTTATGTGAAGTAATGAATAATTCTTTGACGATTAAGTAATTTGATTGTCTGGTAAGCTAGACAATGTTAGTGTTTTTTTATTATTTTTCAATGGTGGAATGTAGCCGCCCGTTGTTGAAAAACAAAAGAAAAAAAAAATTATAAAAAATTAAAGTTTTTTGCTTAATGCCCACATCGGGAGATAAAGCCAATAGTGAAGGTAGTGATTGGCTATAAAAGTGGGAAGCAATGTTTAGGTTTCCATAACCACCACCAAAACACCACCAAAAAATTACTTGAAATGATGTTATATATTAGGGATTTAGAGCAGTCCTTGGAGTCCCTTGAAGTATATAAATATTTGGGGTGTTTTGAGGGTGGTCTGAGTAGAAAAGTATTTGTAAATTGTGGTTGTAACAATTATGCCGCATAGTGAATATTTTTCTTGATTGTCGTTTGGCAAAGCCGTTGGTTTTTCTCTCACTTGGGAAGTTTTTCCACATTTAATAATCGGTTCTTCTTTTAAATTATCTCAGCTCTATTATTTTTATTTCTCATTGTTTCCTATGCTTGAGAAGCCCGATTCCGAAGGGCGGTGAAAAATTATGCGATTTATTTCCTCTAATATCAGATTTGTTTGTTAAGAATTTTGATCATCTAATATTTTTAGTAAATTTGGTTGAAAGAGAAGTTCTTTTTTTTATTTTTTTTTGAATGTATTTAGTTTTTGAATGGTTTGTAAATTTGAATGGTAGACTTACATCTCCACATATTCTAACCAGTGGAAGGTGAGATTTGAAAATAATTGCACATGTTTCAGTGCAGCTAACATCCACATTGATTCTTCTGATTATTATTTTTTTGTATATGTTTATTCCTTAATAATTTGAATAATATTTAATATCGTGTTCTTTTTAATTTCTCAGTCATTATTTTATTCTCATTTGTTCCTGCTTGAAGCCGATCCGAAGGGCGGGAAAAATAGCGATTTTCCCAACAGATGTTGTATAATTGACAAATATGTAAATTTTGTTGAAAGAGAATTCTTTTTTTTTATTTTTTTGATGTATTTTATTTTGATGGTTTGTAATTTGAATGGTAGATACATCTCCACATATTCTACCAAGTGGAAGGTGAGATTTGAATAATTGCACATTTCAGTGCAGCTAACACATGATTCTCATATTATGAATTTTATTCCTTAATAATTTGAATAAAAAACCACCTAAAAGTGGCTATTACGAATTTACGATCATCAATTATATCGTTAGCCAACGAGGCCTAACTTAATAGCTTAGCTATAAAGTTGAAGTGTTCGAAAAATAAAAGTTCTCGGATTCTATCCCTTCTCCCTCATTTTATTAGAATATTTATATCCAATTAATAGTTTTAGTTTCCAATAATATTTCTAATCTAATCTCATTTTATTTATTTATTTATTTATTTTCATAAAAGATTGATGAGTGAGGTGCCAAGAATGCTACTTTATATCAAATTAATGAAAACTTCAATCATATATATCATAATAAAAGAAAGAAGTCAAAACTGAAATTCATGACATTAGCATGAACACATGATATATTACTTGAGATGGATAATCAATCTTATCAAGAATTAAGAAGTCAATCTTTAACACAATATATTTATTTAAAAATTCATAAGAAATACATGTATACCCATATAGATTTGTTTTTTTTTAAAAGAAAAAAATTATTAAACATGCTACATTTGGCCCTGCTACACAAGGGGTAAGGGGCATGAGTGAGTGTTGTACTGTATTTCTTTTGTTTTTCAATAGTCAACTTTTTCAAGCATTCATTTTTTTTTTCTGAAGAAACATTTTTTATGTGAATTTATTAAAGTTTATCACTGATTTGAGCAATTTACTGATAAAAATAATAGATTGGTTCTTGAAGTATAATCAAATTAACAAATGAAAATTTTTATTTTCAAAAACTAACTATAACGTCCTTAACATCTGATCATTATAATCAAACTAACAATAAAATCTCTCACTTCTGATTGCCATTAACATCTGATCATTCTGTTATGATTTTTATCAATATTATGATCCCTCTGTTTTGAATGGAAGGACAAAAATGTCAATAAAATCATAATTTAGGGACCTCATGTGAAAATTTGAAGAGACTAATTTATTATTTTCCCTATATAATAGCCTTATCTGCGCAACCAGAAAAAGAAAATAGGAAATCTAAGCAATTTAACTAAAGCAGCATTTCAAAGGCATTAAATTTAGTGGATCAATTGATAGAAGTGTATAAATTCAATTGCTTTTCAACAGAATTTTCAACTTTAATCCTTTAGTCCTAAGCATCTAAGCTGAAAGATAACATGTTTTGCCATTTGACTAACCAACCATTACCTGAGGCTGTAGTCCAAAATCACAAAATTCTCATTTTTTTTTTTACACATCCCATACATAAAGAAAAAAAACACTATTGCAAAATCAAATTTCAGAAATTTCTAATGGAGGACTTCTGGTAATTAGGGTTGAATAGATTTAAACATTTTACCTCACTGTACAAAATCCCACAATCAGTCCCTTAACAGGAATCTCCTTTATGCGACTCATCCTCCCCAGATGTTGTGGTTGGACTAAGCTCTCGTTTTGGCGACTCTTCCTCGCATTTAGTTGAGTCCTTACCAGGCATCAAAATTGGATGGGGCTCGGAAACTTCATGCAACTTTGCATCCTCAGCACTACCATCTCTTTCTGAAGATTCAGGTTCACAATTTCCAGATACCGAAGCTTCAAGGGAATCCATGAGCGCTAATTTTCCAGCAGGCTGAATATCAGTATCTACAGGTGACTTAGAGGTGGATTGAACATTTTCTCTGCCAGAAAGGTCACTGCCAGAGGCACTAGATGCCACCCACATAAACTGCAAATTGTTGCCTTGCCAACATTTACCATTTAAAAATGCCCTTTCAGCCGAACGCCGAGTTGTAAAAGTCAAGCGGACAGAGCAATATTTTGGTATCTCTGACGCATCACCATCACCATTAGATGCTTCAACATCTTCTAGTTCAACAGTAGAAAGATCACCGAACGATGAGAAGTACTCCTTCAATGTATCAACCTAGAAGAACACAAAACATCACATGTAAACAGCATAGAAAACTGAATTTAGACCACTAGTATTCCAATGCACCAAAAAAACACAGGAAAAGAAAAAACAGCAACCCATGGTTTGGCCTTTTGATTACTCCAGACCTGCAGCTCTCCTTTTTATTTTGTTTTTTCAATAAAATGGGGTCTGGGATTTTGTAGTATTAGCACTTTTGAGTCCAATCACTCGAACTTCTTTTTTATTTTAGGAGATGAGCTGGCAACTTCTGTCAATAAAACATTTGCCACATGGCAGCAGATGAAAGTGACATGTCACAAGAAACTAACGGTGTGAAGAGGTTTCGACGCAAACTGGAGTGCATTTTAAAACACAGACTCCAGTCATTAAAAAAAAAAAAAAAAGAAAGAAAGTTTGGATGATAAAATGGCAAAATCACAGAGTACAATTTTTGTAGTTTCTCCAAGATAAAACACTGAGCTTAGACGATTGACCATGACTTTGATTGAAAAAGAAAACAGAGTGCTTCCTGGATGCATCTCATTACCCCCAATCCAGCAAATCACATATTTGATTCATGGGCTGGCAGGAAAACATACACAGAGTGAGAGAGAGAGAGAGAGAGAGAGAGAGAGAGAGAGAGAGAGAGATTTACATTTGCCAAACCAGTTGGTAAGGGAGGGATAATCCTAAATGCCGTGGGTCGATTATCCAACTTGTATCTATTCATTATGAAGGAAGGCCCTGTAGGTGCCACTGGGCGAATAGGCTGCTTTGAGCCTGCAGATTCCTGCTGCGCCAATGACATATTTGTTTTGGGACTGGATAAGGCATTTTCCACAGATTTATTCTTATCTACTATCATCTCAGCACGTGGAAATGGCACAGCCACAGGATCAAAAGACCTTGTAGTAGCTTTTGCAACATCAGCCGCTATTCCTACTCTATGTTTCTTAGCAGCCGGCTCAGCCACCAACTCACCCTTGACTCCTGTAGCCTGAAGAGAGAAAAATTACAAACAGCTGTTAGAAATGTATGACTCAAATTTTTAATGTTGATATAAAGAAAATCCTACAAATCCACATTGTTTCTGAAAGGCTACAAACTAGTAATATATTCTTTATATCTTTCCTCCTCTATATCGTCCCCCAAATGTGCTCTTATGAAAGAACTCACAGAAAAATAAGACTACCGTTTAATCCCCAAAGTTTGTGTGTATATATAACCTAATAACTATATAGTGAGAAAACGTCAAATGGTAATACAAACACCATGGCATTTTTTGGCTCAACAAATAAATAGCACAATGATTATGATTGCGAGAAACCAAAAAACATAACAATAGGAAATATATGCCTAAAGAATAGTATCCAAACATGAAAACACATTACCTTCTCAAGTTTGTCCAACTCGCGCCGGAAATCATCCCGCTTCTGGTCCAGCAGCGCTCGCTTCTTGCGGAGTTCCTCTTGCAATCGTTCCAACTCTAGCTTCTTCTGCAAAGGTGGTGGAACCTTGGGAGCATTTGTGGGAGGCAAAGATACATCAGAGGGAGGGACCATAATACCCTTAGAAGCGGCAGACTGAAGATTATCTTTTCCTCTATTACCAAGAGAAGGTTGGGGTGCAACTGAAGAAACTGGCCCACCACGGGGAGTTATAGATGCACTAGTGTTGTTATTTATGCTATCATCAGCTATGCTGTCACGATTAGCCCACCATAGCTTGATAAAGCGGTTGCCCATTACAGCATCAGGTGCCCTTAGAGCAGCTTCTGCCTCTTCCCTTTTTGAAAACTGAATAAAAGCTCTTTCACTATTTAATGGAATATAAATATCAATAACCTCCCCAAACTTTTGAAAATGAGAAAGAAGAGCATCCCTCCTGTTGCTTTTCTGTGGGATGCCACTGACAAATAGCGTACGCTGTGCCTTTTGAGATGATTTCCTTGTATTACGCATGGCATCACTCTGTGTCTTGCCTGATGGATCCGTAATTTTAGGGCCAGCTTCCTCAGCAATCATCCTCTTTCCTTGTCGAGAAGTACCCTGAACATTGCCTAATTTATCCTGATCTTCATTAGTTTCATTCTCCACATAATCTGAGTTGCTCACAGTCAAATCAGTTTTCTCTTTCATGTCCAATCTATTCTTCACACTACCAACTCTACCCCAAACAGATGTACCTGTACCCTGTGAACCAACAGGTATACCAGTGCTTCTTATTGCACCTTCATTATCAGCACCATCACGCAATCTGACATGACGACGGTCAGAAGTATCAACACTCATGAAGGCTTCACTTTCATCAATTTTGGATGAATGTAGTCCTAGGAGTGCATTTGAGGTTTCAGGACCATTGTTATTCCACAGTGGCTGATCTGGATCATACAGGTCTGCTCCACCCACACCAGCAGAACCAGAATATGCACCATTCAAGCCCATACCATCATCAACCATTCCAGGCTTGCTACTTCTGTTATGCAGTCCTTTGCTATTCATCAATGTGGTTGAAGGAGCACCAACTGATGGTAGAGTCCCCGCTGCAGCAGGTACCAGTGGTGCACTTGGAAGTGAAACAGGGAGATTGAACTGTGAAAGGCTCTGAAAATGGCAAAGAATCAATTATTGGTAGCAAATTAAATGCATGCCAAAGGAAAGAGCACCAACATTCAAATTGCAATATTAATGCACTATCAATATCAGGAAAATTTAAGCATGACAATTCCACCGAGAATCACTGCATGCTTTGTGCGTGTAAGCATACACATTTTCTATAAGAAATGAGAATATTCCACTGACAATTTTGAATCATTGAGGACATGTTGGAAGCAGTTGATATAATCTATAAGCCATGAAGGAAAGTAAGCAAATAGCTACTCCGTTTCTTCAACTTGTTTGAAGGCCATGACAAAAATGAGTCATGTGCACAAGGATACTGATGACCTGAAGGTGTAGGATCCACCATCCTACAGCTTTTCCTTCAAGTTAGATATCTGTATAAATTAATTGAGATAACTTTACTCCAAATCAATTGAGAATGACATTCAAGATTGAAGTCGCGGAAATTGAAGACCACTTTATACAATGCCGGGCAAGTAATTGTTAAAGTGGACATGAAATTAAATAAACATGATTTATGAATAATGCAAACATCAGCTACACAGTAGATTAGATATTCAGAAAACATTATACAACCAGGTTTGTAACCATTTGTCAAAACCAAATTTTTAGCAGGTTTTTGAAAGGAATCTCAAAGTCCACAAAACATTCATAGAACACATGTTTTTCTATATTTCAACTATAGCAGTCCAGATAAAACCTGCAATCAATATTCAGGGCTCTGGAAGACTGGAAGTTTAACGTGACACGCAATTTACCCAAGATTGATTCACACTTCAACAATAATGCATAAGAAGGACCAGACAAAGAACACAACAAACCTAATATAATTTAAAAAACAAGACGACAAGCTGGAACTTATAAGTACATGGTTCCGTCCTCTGTCTAGATAAGATGCAACACAAGAGACAATGTAAGTCCAGAAATGGAACACAAAATAAATAAATAAATAAATACCTGAACATCTTCAACAACAATACGATTGACACCATGCTCCATTGGACACATGTCACCTCTTAGACAGAATCCACGCTCCTCAAAGTCTCTGCAACGCTGGCGTGGAATGCCCATATTCAATGAAGAATTTACCGCTGGTCTGAGTGTTCCTTGCAAACCAATGGGATGGAGTGCATCAAGGCCACAATTAGCTATTCCAGGAATCAATCCAAATGCATTCCAGGATGCATTTTGTGAATTTGAAACATTTGCCAACCCCCTTCCTCCAAAGATACTTGAAGTAATAGATCCTGGCTGAACCATTTGGGAAGCAATATCAACTGAGCTAAATCTGGAATCACGTTGATTCCAAGAACCAGAGTCCCTTCCTCTTCCCCTGCCAGGACCATGCTCTCCAGAGAATGTTTGGTTTGGCCTGATTCTTTGATTCAAATCCATAGCCACTCGGGGTAATGATGCCATGCCAGAGCGTCTTTTTTCAAACTTTGCAGTGAACTCTTTCTCCAGAGGAGCAGTGTTATTGTTTTTCCATGTTTCGCTACCTTGAGATTCATTTTCCCTAAAAGGATGCCCATTTTCAAATGGTTTGTTGCGCTTCCTGTATGGTCTTGTAAACATTGGTTCCAAAGAGTCTCTCTCTAAAGATTGAGAACGTGTCTCTCTTCTACGGTGCTTATGGTTGCGATCATCATCATCTTCATCACTGACTTCCTTCTCTTCGGGATCACTAGCACAATCAGAAGGAGAAAGACCTCCTGGTTTAAGTGATGAAACCTTGAGCTCCATCTATATGTTAAAATAAACTAAGAGTTGCTTGTGATGTCAAATGTTCCAAACTTGATCTAAATGTGACAATGAAACCACTTTGATTTCCTGGAACCTCTATAGCAGTTGGAGAAGCACCTAGAAGTGGGAAAAACAGTTGATGCGAGCAACAACTATAATATACAGGCCTGTGTTTATACAAATAAAAATAAATAGTGATTGTAAAAAACTCATTTATGTCAAGCTAAAGGTATTTGAATTGCCATTCAAGAAATGCTGAAAAAGGTAAACTTCAATTTGTAAAAAACCTAACCATCACATACAATAGGATAAAAAGACAAGTTCAGTCACCACCAAATGAGTGTTGCAACTTGCAACATCATGTGCAATTTAGAAACATTAGGAAACACCACATTAGCATGCGCCAAGTAGATAATCAAAGTACTTCAGATGCTGATGCACCAGCTTCACAATACAAAAGCATCTAAACTCCTCAGATGGATTAGAGCTTAGATTTCCTTACACCAGTTTCAAGAGACTCCACATATAAAGGGCAACTATAAGAGTATGGGCTCAGAGTTCTCACAATGAATGTGCCACTCAATATGGTGTTAAAAGCTGCTTTCAATGCAATTTGGCAGTTAATAATCACTGTTCCCCGCTGACAGCAATAAAGCTAAACAAAGCCAAAGGTGCACAATACTTCAATTCTGATGTACACAAAATACTGAGAAAGTTTTCTTCTCCAAAGAGGTCCACACCAATTTATCAATTCCAATTTGTCAATTATGAAAAAAAAAAAAAAAACACAAAAGGTAGTTGGTCAAAGTAATTTCCACTCCAAAACTGAAGCTTAATTATATGCCACTGAACCCTACCATTAACCAATTAATTGAACTTGGAAGCATTTGTCCACATCTATGTGAACTTGGAATTGATTGCACATATCTATGTAACTATGACCAAATGAAACATAGGAAATTACATTAAGTTTATACAACTAAATGATCAAAAGAAGAGAGCAATACCAAACTTTCATCAGATCAATAAATCTGAATAGCTTTCACAAACAATTGTTAACAATACCAAATATCATGGAAGGAATCGACATATTGAAATCAGAAGCTACAATAGTCATACTCTTGAGAGTAACTCTCTGGCGCTTATGCATGCTTACTTCAAATCAGCTTCATGCTCAAGATAATAAAAAATTGAATGGGTTCAGCTTCAAACTTATACTAAAATTTACAAATTCTCTCATGTCAAACTGGACTAAGTTACACCAAGTTCAACAACCAATGCATATAGAAGCAAGCGCAAATACATTATCCATAGCACAAGCCTTTTCTCTTACTATTTGCCAAGCCCTATACCCCATATACCCAAACTGGTGATTCAAACAACTGACAGCAGTATTTGATGTTCCAAAGAAAAAAATTATGACTAGAAGTTTCCGAAACACGGAAACGCCCATGACTAGAAGTTTCCATGCATCATAGGAAATAAGTAAACAAACAAAATATCAAAAATATGGCTGACAACTTTCTAGGAGAAAAGTTACGGGAGGTCATTCTTCATGTCTAAGGAATCATATAGAAAGGAGGACATTTTGCGAATAAATTGATTTGTATTTGATTTAATATTGCACGGTCTGTTAAAATTTATTTGAAACAAAAAACAAATTACACTAATTTTAAAAAATTTAATATAACAAATGAAGAAGTAATGCTGAAATTGAGAAAGAAGCAAAATGGCAACTCAAAGTGATTTAATTGCAACCGCAAAAGACAAAAAGTTTCAGTCTGCAAATGTAATGCAGTAATGTGTCTCACAATGCAAATGTATATCTTCAAGCAGTGAAAGTGGCTAACTTCCTCCACTCATATCATCAGCATAATCCTTTATCATATAGAGTATCCCCATACAACCATTTTAATTTTAAGTTTGCCTCTAACAAAGTACTGTATATCTAATACAAAAATATACTATGGAAAACATTTTGTTTTTTTGTCCTACGACAAGTGAAAGCAGAGCAGTAAAAACAGCTAGAATTTACAACAAAACAAGCTATCTTCAAAAAGCTTGATAACCAGAACAATCTCAAAATTTCAAAAGTAAGGTGACAACATGAAGCACTCCAGCTCCATTGCAACTAACACACCTAATGAACAAATAAGTTTTGACTCAGAGCAAATACCAATATAAGCAGTAACACAACAATATACCATATCCTACCTCATTACTTAAACCCTTAAAATCTTTCCGCAAAGTTGAGTTGTACAATATATAAATACTTAAGATATGTGATAATAAGGGTGACCATTTATTATATGGGAACTACTTTGAAGGGTAAGCTTCCAATTTATAACCTCACCACAAACTCTAACAAGCATTCAACAAGCCTATGACTATGAGGAATAAGTTTGATGTAAAAAATTTGCTAACAGCCAAAAGTAATTCAAATCAAGAAGATTAGGGGCAAGTCATTTGCAGAATCATGTAGCATTTACTACGAATTGATAAATATTGGTTTAACAATGGAAAAAGAAATCTTCCATTCACCATTAAAAGCAAATACCTAAATAACCTTGTAAAACACTTTTAGAAGTGATTAACACCAACCAACAAATTTCATACTTGAAACCACACAAAAAAATTATTACATAATGAAATCAATTCAATCTCTACCTCTTGCACAACTATTTGATAACTGGATTTCATCAGCTAGAACCTACTCGAGTACAATGTATATAAATCAAAAACTGAAATAGAATATCAAAGAATTCAACTCTAATAAAAATAAAGATAAGAACAATAGCTAACAACTAATCTAAGTCTAAGCAAGTAAAACCCTAATACAAATCAAAATCAACAAAATGGTGTATGTACGCATACATCTACATACTACCAACAGAAGCATCTAAAACCTGCAAAATTCTTCATATTATAACAACAGAATGTCAAGCAATAGCAATAAACTGATCATAATTAAACGAATTAAATTTAAAAAAATAATAATAATACGTGCTCACACAAAAATTTAAAAAAAAAAAAAAGAGAGACGAACAGTGAGAGAAACATATCTTACAGAAATTCGAAGAAAGGCCTTCACAGTGTACAATTAGATTACAAGTTGATTCCTGTTGGTCGAGCAATGGAGATAAGGGTAACAAGTCGACCACGGAAGGGCATTTCGGGAAGAGACAGTTGCAGAGAGGAAGGGCAGGATCGTAAATAAGGGATAACCGAAGGCGGGATTGGCAATAGCGGAAGAGAGATTTCTGAGAGAGGGAAAAGGGTTTTTGCGAGTGTGATGTTTTTTTATTTTTTTCTTTTTCCTAATTTTCGTTTCGTCGTTTGAAGCTGTGCCGTGAGATAGAACAAAACAGGATTTTTTGTGAGAGAGAGAGAAAGAGACGATGGTGTGTACCTAAAAGGAATACATAAATTGATACGAGGACGAAAACGAGAACGTTGAATTTATGTTTCGACCCCATCATTTTTTCTAAATTAAATTTTGGAAAGAATTAATTATCATTGCATATATTGTTTGTTTTTTGTAGATTTTTTTTTGGCGGGGGATTAAAATGGAATATCATCTTTTATTAGACATGAATAATACAACAGTAAGCTAAAAGTTTATTTAAGAATTTTAAATTGGGAAAGGGGGAATGATATATTGTTTCTCATTTATAAATTTATTAATTCCAATAGATAAAATATGAAAATTTCATCCATTAATAATTTAGGGTCAAGTCTTTATTATATTTTATGGTTAATAGCATTAATAGAGTCGGCCCAAATCTAAATTTTATAAAAATAAGAAGAGGAGTATGTGTTAAATTAGAGGTGTGTAACCCCGCTAAACAAATTTGCATGGAGGTATCGGATAGTATTAACTAGGACTAAGCCCTGAGTTGGATTGGTTAATAGTAATAGAGTTCAGACATTAGTGGTTTACAAAAAAAAAAAAAATAGGGGTGTGTAAATTTGATAATTCAGTTTAAAATCAAACAAATTGGAGCAAATCAAATAAAAATATAATCTAGTTGAGTAGTTTATAAAAATCAAATAAAATTATTTTTGTTGGTTTTAAACTATTTTTATGGTTTTAGATAGGATTGTAAATGAGCTTAGATGAGTTTTAATAAGCTCAAACTCGAGCTTAGCTCATTAAAAAATAATCAAGCTTGAGTTTGAACACCTACCAAACTAATAAAATAAATATATAATCTATAATTCATAATCTATAATCTATTTATCTATATGTAATCTATAATCTGTAATATTTATAGTCTATAATTATGTACAAAAATGAGAATGAATTGGAGAATATTGAAATTGCCAAAAATGTTCCTACTGTGTTACAGATCTACAAAAATATCATTAAATACTTTAATTTAATTGGTTAAAAAAATTAAATTAATTTAATTTTTACTAATCATATTATTTTTTATTTAGATATAAATTCTATTGAACAAATAAAAAATTATATTATATACTGCAGAAGGTATATGATAGAATATAATATTTTTAAGGATTTTAATTTTATTTGTTAGAAAAAAATAAAGGTAATTTAATTTCGATTGGTATATTAATTTTCAATGTAAATATAAATTATATTAAATAAACTAAGAAATTATATTTTTATATATACTAAATAAGGTATATATTAAATATGGTAAGAATATAATATTAATAAATCTCTAATTTAGCTGGTTATAATTATTTCCTACAAATAACTTATTCTACAAAAAATGTAATATATTATTACTTATTAATGAATACATTATAAGATTTATGTCTGATATAAAATAGGAAATAAAACTCACTAAAATATATGTAAAATATAAAATTATGATGTAACACTTTATATTATCAAACAAAAAATTTTTAAGTATAAACTCATTTTTCAGACAGAATAATTCGATATTGAGATAAAATGTAAGTTAATGACATTATAGTTATTTATCAAATGTAGAAGGATGCAAGTATTAATTTGAACATATTTTAAGAATCCATTTATATTTTACTTTTAAAATTTTTATTGAAAATATTGAATAAAAAATGAAACATCCGTTGAAAGAAAATGTAACTTTTACAAAATATGAAAGAATTTGTTTAAGCAATTCAACAAACTTGAATGTCTTGTAGTGTTTGGTACTAAATTTGAACCGATACAGTTTCTGGTTTTGCCGGTTCAACTGGCTGAGCTAAACCAAGTTGTAAATATTGATAAGTGAGATTAAAATTCTCTCTTCTAATTATGAAAAGAGAAAAACAATACAAAATGAAATTTAAGCAATACGCAAACATTAAAATTGGAAGTTTATTTAAGAGTTCTGATCCAATGGTATTTAAAATTGACTTAAATTTATGATTCAAACGGCGACTTTTAATTATTATTTTTTTTTCTCCATATAAGTTCATATATCAACTTAAACTCTCTAATCTGAACCAAACCGATAAAAAATTATGGTCTTTAAATTTTCATACTGGTTTGGTTTGAACAATTAAAAAATTGAGCCCTTACATCGATTTACAGTTTTGGAGTCAAAATTGAATTAAATGAAATTGAAGACTTTGTCATTTGAAACAAATAGTAGAAAATAAATTCCTAAACCCAAGTCTAAGCATCATTTTTTCATCCTGCCTCCTCTCTTCATTCTCTCTACTCTCTAGTCTATTGTTTCCTTTTCATATCCATGCACTATCAAATGTGTTAAAATATATAAAAAATTGAAAAATGAATATATTTTTGGGTTTTAATTTTTTTCTTGTTTTTAATATATATAATCTTTAAAATGTTTAAAGAGTTAATAATTTTTTTTTTTTTTGATAATACTCAAGATAAACATATAAAATTTTTAAATCAATCAAAATCAAAAATCTCAATATATGTATCCACTTCCCAAATATGTAATCAGAGTTGAGAATTAATATTGCTTTGTTCAATTTTATTATCGGTTTTGACATATTTTAATTTGAAAATTAAGAGTTCATTTGTTTTTATAAAATAATTTATTTAAAAAGCATTTTTTTTTATTTTCTGATGTTTGGAGTAATTAATAAATCAATTAATAAAAAATATTTTTCTCTTAAAAAAAACCATTTTTAAAGGAAATGTTATAACCAGCATCACTGTTCACTAACCACTATTGGTCACCACCACCACTCGCCCATGACGTCCCCAAGTCAATCATTTTTTTTTCATTTATTTTATCGTTATTTAACAATAAATTTTTAAAATATAAAATTTGTAAAATTTTTACTACTTCTATGGTCATATAAATTAAAATTTTTTGATATTTTCCAAATAATATTTTGTAATGCAATCAACCAATAGAAATAAATTGTTTTTTCAAAGAAATCTCAAAATATTTTGAGAAAATAACATCAAATCTCCCATTTTAATCTCGTTCCAACCACTCTGGAACCTACAGTTCAGTTCCAAGACGAGGGGATATGTATAAGTTCTCCAAGACCCATTATAACCTACATTGAAAATAAAGGTTACAAACTCATTAACATGGTTTCTATTCTGTCAAATCACTTCTTCTAGCTTTTTCCACTCCGAGACACACTACGGGTAATAATTATCTAGTAGACATTTACCAAGTTCGAGGTGATAACCCCCAACTCAATCAAAACCCACACACAACAAAACATTGCAACATTCACTAATGATCAATTTGAAGCACAAGCAGAAAATTTGAAGGATGTTAAGTCTGAACTCAAAGTCTTATCCTTTGCCATTGAAGAGAGAGAGTTCTCAATCAATCAGCCTACTAGATCAAAATACTGAACTAAAACCACCAAAATAAGAACAAATAGAATATTTGATAAGCTTCTTCAAATTATTTGTATACACAACCCGAATTAAGGCAGGCAATAATAAAACCAGAGCTAGATAATACAAGTATGAATGAGATTTCAAAACAACCACATAAAACTGAAAAATTATGCGAGGAAGGAAGAAGCATCCAGCGGACAATAACCTTTCCTCTTCATGCGAACTGTCTCTCTTGGCAAAGTCAATCTGGAAACATGGGTAATTCTATACATCAATATTAGTAAACGAACATGTTACCGGCCAAACCAACCTCTCTGGGGTTGAACTTCTCCATCATTCATCAGTTTATCCAACACTATGTTCAGGTCCACTTGCTGGCCATTCTCTGTCAGCTTTCTAACGGTTGCTCGAACATGTTCTCTTGGAAATCCCATGTTAGTTACCTTGTCGACCACATCGTCAATGGGAACCCTGTTTCCAGTTCCAGAAGAACCAGAGCCACTGCCAACCCCAGAAGCAGTAGGTAATGCGTGTGGTAATACCCGAGCAGTGGGAAGCTGAGGGTACCCACTTCCACCACTCTGCGACATAGAGGAAGAAGAGAGCTGTTGTGGTTTCATTGTAGTGTTGCCACCATACTGAGATGATGATCCACCATAAGGATATGGTTCAGTAGGCCCAGAAGGTGGGCCATATGCAGCAGGGAACCCTGAGCTTGGCCGATTAGATGGTGGTTCAAACATGTGGGGTGAAGGAGCCACATAAAATGGTTGGGAAGTAGGAGCCCCACTGGGTGACTGAGAGGATGGTTGGCGTAAGCTTGGTGGGTAACTCTGAGGGGGAACGTAAGGTGCCTCTTCAGGATGGTGAGCTGCTGAAGGCTGAGGTTGAGGCAATTGAGGTGGCAGAGAATAATGTGGTTGAGGTACAAGCTGATAAGGTTGATGTGGTGGTGGTGCTGCAGAAGAAGGTTGTGGCTGCTGTGATGGAGGCACCTGGTATTGTGGATTTGGGGGTTCTTGAGTTTGACCAGATGCAGAATAGTAAGGCTCCCTATGAGGGACAGATGGGATTTGACTTTGTGGAAATTGATTTGGAAGTGGAGCTTGAGGTGGTAAATTCTGTAGAGGAAGAGTGGGGGGAGGGACAGCAGGAAGTGGGACAGAAACTGGAGGAATAGATTGTGGAAAAGAGACAGGAGGAAGCTGTTGATGAGACTGTGGAGGGGCACATGCAGCTTGCTGCAGCTGTTGGTGAGATTGTGGAGGGGCAGATGCTGCTTGATGCACAATAGTGCCCATGTGCCCAGAGTGTTGGGTTTCTGATTGTTGCTGATCTGCTTTGGACACTTGCAACTTAGCAAGTTGCAGCTCAGCCTCAACTACTTCCTGCTTCTCCTTTAAAACTTGCACTCCTGAGTGCACCTGCATATTATTGATGAAAAAGACAAAACAATATAGTGATCAACAAGAAATGGTACAAACACAAGCTAGCATCCACATAAAAAGAAGTAGCGCACAGAAGTGAAGGTCTAGTTTGGAGAACTTGGTTTCATGCCAATATGACCATATTAACATTATATCAGTAAAAGAAAGAAATTTATCAGCAAGAAGCATACATTTAGATGACACTACTTGAATCACCTCCTAGGTTCACCTTGCCGGCCCTAATGTTTCCAAACGAGCAGCTCACTATTATTAGGAAAGTTTTTCTATTTTATTGATTAGTAGCATAACTAAAATAATTCCACAAGAAAGAAAATGTTTCCACATCATATTTAAAAAATTCACCAAGTATAGCAGCAAAGGCATATTATTACATGAACATCATATTCCAGGAGGATTCAATTTCTGGTAACTAATGAAGGCTGTGAAAAAGGGAAAAAAAATTGGTTCAGTGAAATTGGAACTGGTAAGATGAAGCACAAAGTCCTCGATTTATTAAGTAATTCACTTGATAATTCTAGCTCAAAACTTAAGATATCTTACTTGAGAATATTTTGATAGTATTCCAATGATGTGCTCAACTATAATAAATTTGGGCGACAACAATTTGTATATCACATTCTAATTAATGAAAAGGAACAAAGATCCAATTAGTTTCTGTCATCCAAAGAATAATAAAACTGTGGGACCAAGTGTGACCACAATAACACAAGTAAGAACATAAAGAGATTATTAGACACGCTAAATATAACAATATAGATTGTGCAATGTTGATGCCTCTAAAATTTTAGTTCATATTTGCTTGAAATGAAAAAGATAAAAAAGCTTTTAGTTTGAAATAACAACTACATATCTTGGTATGCAGAACGGAGAGTCAAAAGAGAAACAAACTGCGATATGCCATTACAGGAAAAACCACATCATAGGAGGAGAAGATTTGGTCATCAATTACGCTCTTCTATGTCCTAAGTTCGTTTAAAGTGTGACCAACATCTATTATTCACCAAATGCAACTAGTTCAACCTAAGGTCCTAGGTGCAAAGCCTGCCTGAATGTCAAGCTCAAGGGTAATTAAGCAAGTACCTCTCTCAAAATGTTCTCCAGTTGTCTCATCTTCCCATCCGTGCTTCCATTATTGTTTCCAACCGACAACTTCAAGTCATCCACAGAATTCTCAAGGTTGCGGGTTCTGCTCTCCAGCTGTGTCAGCCGTGCACTAACACCTTCCATGATATGCAGCAAACTATCAGCATGTTTCTTCATAGTTTTATCAATCTCCATCACTATTGCTGCACCCAAAGCATTCTGATCCTTCTCAACAACCACCTTTGCAGGTTCAATAGAGTCCAAAGAACCATAATTCTGTATCAGCAATTATAGAATCATGAGAATTCTTATTGAGGTATATTTTTTTTCAAAAAAAATCAGGCATACATACAGCACTACTCACAGAGAAATCTCATCAATCCAATTTTATCTTTTCACAAAAGAAAGAAAAAAGATGATTAATCCAAGAAATGGCAAAGAAAGATTCCCCTTCAATCTTAAAAAAATTTAGAGAACCACATCATACACAGGAAAAAACGACTAGAGACATGGAAAAGATCTAGCAATAAGATAAATTAACCTTTAGATGTTACTTTGAAAAAAAAAATAATTTGAGCCCAGACGGAAAGATGTAGCAAAGATAAACCCAGATCATCTAAGGGCATTCCGCCATTCATATCATAAAGCAACATAACTTATGCCATTTAATGGAAGAAATAAAGTACAAAATTGTGAAAGTAACTGCATAAATTATTATTTTTGGTTTAGGTATCCTCTTCTCCTATGTAGTTCAGATTATTCTCTAACAAATAATTACTTGTTTCATTTGGAAACAAATAAAACCTAATTTCCATTGGTTCCAGCTATGCCGTTACCATTACAATTCTGATAACTTTACAGCAGAATAGCACTTTACAGCAGAATAGCAACTCTTAACTTAATTTTCCTTTTTTTTTTTTTTTGGCATGAGATGTTCAATAAGATAAGCAGACCAAGGAAAGCTAGTATTTTATCAACTCATCAAATTGAAACCAAACAGGTTCTTCTATCTTCAGCTATAAAAGTTCCTTTTGCTGTTTTCTGCCTGAGTACTTAGTTAAAAACTCCAAAATATGAAAACAATCTAATGTAAAATAAAAAGCCCTAATCATCATTACTAACTGCGATTCTAAGTTATAACTCAAGGAATCTGAACAAAGAACCACATTGTTAAAACTCTACCAGATAATAATAACCCTAAAATATACAAAAAGCAGCAACTAAAAAATTGATCAAAATACAAACGGATCATGAATCCCCAAAACCCTTACTCTAACAGGAAAGGAAGTGGAATTAGATTTAGAATCGGCAGAATTCCAAACCCTAGAAGAAGCGGCAGCACCTCCACTGATGCCAGCAATAGTAGAAGAATCAAGACTCGAAGCAATAGGACGAATCGGCTGGAAATCGTAATTAGGAAGGATCTCCTCCTTTCTTATCCCGTTATCGGCACCGCCAATTATACTATCGGTATTGTAAAGACTCTGGTGATGGTGGTCGTCGTCCTGCGGAGGATTCATAAGATCAATAAAATCTTTACTGCTTTGCTTCGGCGGCGACGACGACGACAATGAAACTTGCGATTGCTGTGTCGTTGATGATGATGAAGTCAAATCCATTATCTGCTTGTCCATAAACTGCGACGTATTCATTTGATAAAAATGGGAATTGTTTATTATTAGGGATTTGAAATTGGGCTAAAAGGTTAGGTTTTGAGATGGGACAACTGACAAGGTTAATGTTTTCAACTTTCTAGTTCCTTAATTTGGTGTAGTTATTTTTTCTCGACGAAAATAAGGATTAAAGGCTAACTATCTGGTTTAGACTCTGGTTCGAGTTTAATTATTTGTTTATTAATATAATTAAAGTGGGCCCAATAGTGAGTTGAGTGCTAAATGCTAATTACTATATTATTGTTGTAGTTGGGTTTTTGTTATATGGACTGGGCTATTTATGTTACTAGAAATTGAGTATCAAAGCCCAACTATAATGGGCTTGCGTAGGAAATTACTTTATTTACTCACTTAATTGGTCAAATGTATTTTAAGAAATTATTTATTAAAATAACTTTTTTCTCCAAATTTTTTTAGTGAAAAAATTAATTTAAAAACTAAGAATCCATTAATTTCTGAAAAAATAAGTATCTAAAAGGTATTTTTTTAGATTTTCTAATATTTGAAGTGTTTAGGAAAATCAATCAATATAAATTATTTTTCTTATCAAAGAAAAATTAAGTCGTTTTGAAAGGAAGTAACTTTTTATTTTCAGAAGTATTAAATATTTTATGGATATTAAAAAACCTATTGTAACCTTATAAATATATATTTTTTTTAATTCATTAATCACCGGTAATCACCATCATTGGTCACCATCCGTCATCAACAACTACCACCGATCACCAGCAACTATTTTAATTTATCATTTTTATGTATTATTTTTTATATTTAACAATAAATTTTTAAGAATACGTTATTTCCATATTCTAAATATTTTTATGATTTTATAAGCTAAAATTTCTAGTTTTTTAACTAATTCTCAATATTGCAATTAAGCAATGAAAAATGAATTACTTGAAAAAGATAAATTATTTTCTGGAAAAAGCATAAAATAATTATTTTATTTTGAAAACTGAAATAATATGTCGAACAATCACATTCGATGATAAGTCTGTTGATGCTTCAATAAAATCTGCATTTAGGAAAATAAAAATTTACATTTAGCAGTGCCTTCTAATGATAAACAGATCCAGCTTCAAATATCATGTGAAATGCATGTGTTATTTGTTTTAAAGGAAGACACTTCCAAGACTTGGGAGTTTTAACTTTAGAGCAAGAGGTTAGAGAATGAAAAATGATTTATAGCTATACATGTTACGAATTGACAGTATGTCAGAATTAAATTTCATGAGAATATATATTAATTTTGCATTTAGATGGTATCACGGGTTAGTTTTCGCGCACCTTATTAAATTGAACTCTTTGATTTATGAAAGAGTTAATTTTATATATGGTTTGCGTTATTAAATTGAACTCTTTGATTTATGAAAGAGTTAATTTTATATATGGTTTGCGCTGAATAAATATGTCGAACAATTCAGCATTCGATGATAAGTCGCTGTTGAGTCTTTCAATAAAATCTGAGCATTTAGGAAAATAAAAAAAATATCTGTACATTTTAGCAGTGCCTTCTAAATGATAAAACGATTCGAGTTCAAAATGACCGATGTGATAATTGCCAGCTGTGTTATTTGTTTTAACAGGAAGTGACACTGTCCAAGACTTGCGGAGTTGTTAACTTTAGCAGCAAGTAGGTTAGTAGAATTGAAAAATGATCTATAGCGTAATAACATGGTCCGAATTGACGCAGTATGTCTATTAACTTAATATTTTTCATGAGAATATATATTACATGTTTTGCATTTAGGATGGTATCAAGGGGTTAGGTTTTTTTCGCGCACCTTATTAATTGAACTCTGTTGATTTATGAAAAGCAGTTAAATTTTATATATGGTTTGCGTTATTAAATTCCGAACTCTTTGATTATGAATAGAGTTAAATTTTATATATGGTGTTTAGCGAAAACTAGCCGTGATATTAATCTTATCTGGGCAACTGTAAAAACGAATAATAAAAAAGTTTTGTGCATTATAATGTTTTAAGGAGAGGAAGATGAAAGAGTTAATTTTATATATGGTTTGCGTTATTAAATTGAACTCTTTGATTTATGAAAGAGTTAATTTTATATATGGTTTGCGTTATTAAATTGAACTCTTTGATTTATGAAAGAGTTAATTTTATATATGGTTTGCGTTATTAAATTGAACTCTTTGATTTATGAAAGAGTTAATTTTATATATGGTTTGCGAAAACTAGCCGTGATATTATCTTACTGCAATGAAAAACGAAATAAAAAGTTTTGTGCATATAATGTTTAAGGAAAAGAAATTTCCGAGACCAAGATAATTTGCTGCAAATAACTTGCAAAAGCATATATATTAGCATTAAATTGAAATAGTTACAACTTTAATTCCATGGAACACTAATAATCATCTTAATATCCAAATTAATTAAAATTTAAATCTAAAACACATACTCAATTGTTGAAACACCACTATTGCTAGACCATGGAACTTGAACAACAACCATGCATTCCTCATACTCAAATTCAACTTCTCCTCCATCAATTTTGCAACTTCTTGGCTTCTCTGATGCAAAAACCCTAAATTCTCCGGCCCCCTTTACTCCAATTTTGACCGAATTATCGAAATTGTAGTTTAATGACTGGATGGCACCACCATTGTTAAGCATGTTAACTAGGCCTATAGGAGCAAACTGAATAGATTTTCCAGCTAAAATGGTGACCGGAGAAACAGTAATAAGCTCGAAATTGAATGGCTCGAGTGCTAGTTCAATGTTCTCATATGGCTTGGAGAGGAGTAGCTTTTTGGACTTTGACAAATACATGGCAAAAACTTGTACTCCTTCAATGGAAATTGGGTTCTTGCCACTGTTCCATTCAATGTCTTTTGGATTGGTTTTAGCGGTCACCAAGTTGGAAAATTGTGAGGCACATTGGTTGCGTCTAGTCTCTCTGTTCCAGCCTCCTCCTTGGCAGTTAAATGCACCAATAACTCCAGTAAACTGTTTCAATTTCAAAAACAAATTATTGAATTTCATTTTTAAATATATATTTTCAAGTGGGTTTTTATAATATTTTCCAAAAAATAAAGGGAAAATTGACTAGAATTTATGGGCCCATTGAACCGCAAATTAAGTAACTTTACCTTATTGAGGTTCCAAATTTTAAGCATGGTTTTGCCATCATGGAGAGGATCCTCAAAGAGGCAATCTCTTGTAGGAAGAGCATAGTATTGACATCGGAGAATTGAACCGTCCGGCAAGACTAGACGCTTGAGCAACGGGAAATTGTGCTTTCCGACAGAGTCGCTAACGTAAATTGGTCCGCCAGAAATTGCCCTAGAAGCAGCATGGAATTCAGCACAAGGATGTGTAGATTGGAACATGTCCCAATCTGGGTGTATGAAATTGCCCATCCACAAGCTATTGTAAGCACAGTGGACCATGTGACAACCTTGAAGCCAAAATGTACCGTTGGGATCACCAGATGGATCAGTGCACCAAAAATCATCACCTATAATACCATCAAAGATATGGGTATTAGCTGGGCCCAAATCCAATATGCTTAATCGAATGGACATGGACATGGGCCCAAATCCAATTTCATTTTTCACTGACATTAAATCCCTAATACTCGAGATTTGGATTGGTTTTAGATGATGAATTTTGTCAGTCAAATTAAATCTCGTCTACGTGGCAGTGTATACATATATAAAGATATAGATAAGGTTGCATGGACATTAAAATTAAAAGCACTGTTATAAAAGGTGACATTAATATATCCCAACCACCTGGGGCCCACTGTGACCCTAAAAATATATATTAATTAATTGAAATAGCTTGTGGTGCAAGTAGGATATTGATTAATTAATTAATTAATTAATTATTGAAAAAGAATTAATATGGTAGTATTAAGATAAATGAAAGTATTTTTAATTGATTTATTGTATAGATGGTTTCATAAAACCGAGCGTGAAAATTATAATTATAATCTTAAAATAAAAATTATGCGGCAAAAATAGACATACCAACGCGACCAAGAGAGATGGTTTCAGTTCCAAGAAACATGAAATCGTTGCAGTGTTCCATGCTAGCTATTACACCATTTCCATTGAAATGTTTTCTTACAGAGGCAGTCAAGGCCTTGTAATATGCCTTTGCAAGATTTACTCTGCCTCCATAATCTTCACACAGCATTTCTAGCAACTGTAAAATATAGCAATATAAAATTCAAACAGTAAATCGTTAGAACAAAAAATAAATTTAATAGATATTTTCATATATTAATAAAATATTCTAATCTTTGTTTAAAGAAAACATAAGGTGAAAGAGACAGATTTTTTTGAGAGGATAAGATAACGCAGTAAGATAAAAGATTACAACAACGTGCCGACCAAACAAGTCAAAGCAGTTAATTTAGCCAACAGTACATTTCAGTCAAAGTAACCCACAAAGCAAATCAAGACATATAAGTAGATTTGGTCCTACATATGACACTTTGCACTATTTCTGTTTCTCACAGCCAACGCTAACCAACCCTAAAGTCCATGCCTAAAATTCAAAACAAAATTAAACTAAGTATATCTAAATTTAAAAAATTTATATTTAGTTTTTAATTAAAAAATATTCAATTTAATTCCGTGGTAATATAATTATCTCGATAAAGTAACTTACATGAATAACGTCCACCTTCACGCCATCAATGCCGACTTTTTTTAAATTAGAGTGAAGACCCTCGTACAATTGATCAACTATCTCTGGCGGCACAAGTCCCACGCCATTACTCACAATCTTATCAACCGCGAGATCCTCCATGGTTAACTCCAGTCCCGGTGACAATTTAGGCTTCATCACCACTGTTTCCGGCAAGCCAGGTACATTAGGTCTTAACCCACCCCAATACCCACATAATGCATGCCAAACATAAACATAATCAATAGTATTAAACTCCTCTTTGAGGTCCTTAATAAAGGCACCCATGCCCTTAGTATTAGAACCATTGGCCAAACTCTTGGGACTCACATAATCCCTAAATTTATAGTTCTCTTCAAATTTTAGTAGCCTGCATGGCATTTGCTCACCAGCAGCCGTGTGATTCATTCCTTCTTTACTGATTGGATCTTCATCATGACTAATAGATTGCCATCCATCATCAATCAAGACTAAGCCAGGTGGGACCCCACCTTCAACAAGACCTTTAACACCTTCCCATACACCTTGAGGGTGCACCGTAAGGTAAAATGCATCCCATGTACACCATCCAAACTTGTCCACTATACCAGGAGCTGTCTTTTCTTCTAAAAGCCTGAAAGTACCTAAATGAACCCTAATTACCTTCATAGCATCTTTCACTAAAGTGAACGGATCGTCGCCGATGTGCATGTAAAGAACACTCCGGAATCCGGCGCCGGTGACTTTCGTTGATCCACTTTCAACGCATATGTCGATGTTGTCATCCTCTCCTGATTGGAGAGAGGCCCGAAATGGACCTTCGATTAAAGGAAGAAGAAGGATGTAGGGTCGACCCGAATCCGACTTATCAAGAACAACAATTTGGGTTTCATTTTCGAGGTCTTTGCCATTTGATCCGACCCAATGGGTAGTCCACCAGACTTTAAATCGGAAAATGCTCATGAACTTGATGTTCTTCAATTTTCCGATAGGGACAATGTGGCGGTCCTTGGGTTCGGTAGATTCGAACCCGAGAAACGCTCCGACGGTGGACAATGATTTGTCGGTTAGGGTATAAGAAGAAGGAGTGAGTGTTATATTATCCGGCACATCGGAGAGAAAGACATGGCCATTGGCGGTTAAGTTTGAACCTTGAAGAGAGATAAGAGAAGGGTTATCGTTAGTGTCAATAAGAGTTGAAACACCAGAGCTGGCTTTGGTGAGGCTAGGAGCCATAGTTGGAAGCAGAAGGAAGAAACAGAAACAGAGAATTTAAAGGGGTCTGTGTTTTGCGTTGAGAAGAAAATGAGAGGAATGGATTAGGTTTTATAGAGGAAAGAATGGTATTAAAAAGGAAGGAAATGAAGAGATTCTGTGATAATATATTTGAATTAATGGTATGTTTGAATTAATACTTTGCTTTTCTCTGTGTATGATTTTGGAAGGAATGGTAAGTGGGCTCATTTATAGGATAGCTTTCGTGAGGTTGAGGGAGGATCGAGGAAGGTGAAGTGATGTTCCTACTAATTAATTAATTGCTTTAATTAACTATTAAGATTAAAAGAAACTATTTTTTTCCTGGATGGGTAAGAAGGGCAAAAAGTATATGTTACATCATCAAATCTTGTATATTATATTTTTTTGTTTTAAAAAATCTTGCATCTATTACCTAGAGAAATTACCTAATAATTAATTAATTAATTAATAGTAATAAGTTTTATTAATTAATTAATATTTATTTCCACATGGAAATAATCCAGTTTCCATTTGTTTGATATTTACATATAGTACGTAGTTTTGTCAAGGAACATAAATGAGAAAGAAGGTTTCTTTTTCAGTTTTTCCTAAATTATGGAAATATTACTAAATAGTATATACACAATTATCTTGTATGATATCGAACCAGACGAGATAAATGAGGGTATTTCTAATTATTTACAAGGAAAAAAAATTTTTTAAAAAAAAAGTTTCAATCTGATTTATCTAGGAAGAATTGGATTGTCCTGATTCAAGGGCAAGAACTCAAAACTAAACCCCGGGCAGTCACTACAAAGGGAATCTGCTAGCTACTAGTGTGTTGAGGAATAGTTGTTGGAGAGGTCTTCCAGGGTTTTCTTATTCCTTTGGCATAATCTTTTAAAAAGAAAAAACTTTTTCCCTCTTCAACTCCATTCTTGATTTTCACGTCTCTTCCCCACAAATTATGGTTGATGTTAATTGCCTTTTATATATATATATATATTTTTATATATTATATATATAATATAAGCTAACACAAGGAATAAGGCCCCCTGCACAGTCCATGGAATTAATATATAAGCTAACACAAGGGAATAAGGCCCCCTGCACAGGTCCATGGAATTAAAAAAAAAAAAGAAACTTTTTTTTTTCCTTATTTAACGTCATTCTAAAAAGGGATCGGCCGGGTTCGGTCCGTCTATCCCTCAATTTAAGGAACTATGCCTAACCTATCATAATAAATGATAAGAAAAAAAAAAAAGAAAAAGAAAGAGGAATATAATTATATAAGAATAAAATAAAGTAGAATCGTGAATAAATTGAGACTGCTGCTTGTTTTCGTGACAATATGTTTGGATAAGAGATTTTATTGACACTTGTCGGTGACAGAGTTTTCCATTTATGTTTGTAACTCAACTACTTTTCTTTTATACACTTCATGTCAAAAAGCTTGGACCCAAATTGGTTTAGTTCCTTTAACTTAAAACCGTCGGTCCAATAAATCTTTATAACACGAACTTTTGATTTTAAGGAGATTAAAATTAATAAATGAAGTTATATCCATTTATCAAAAATTAATTTTTATGAAACTGTGTTTTACATTATTATATTTATTGGATATATTCATGATTTAATTTTTTTTATATACATTATATCATAAAATAGAACAACAAAAATTTAGATCAATTAAATTAAAAAATGAAACAAAATTTATTATAAAAAAATTAATTAAATCAAAGTTTTTATATATTAAGTACAAATTATAATAATTGACACTTTAAAAATCAATTAAAAAATATAAATTACTAAAAAATAATCAAATCGAGATATTTCAAAAAAAAAAATCATAAGAACAAATCGTGATAATTAATACCTTGAAAATTACCTTTATTTTGTTATCTTAATTTATGATTTCACATGTATGAAAATCCGAAAGTTATAATGAAGATAATTGTAATTAGCATGATAAAGGAAAAAAAAAAAGAAAAAAAAATATAGAGAATATAACTTATGATTTTGTTTTGAGAAAAAAAAATATTTTTTTCTTATAAAAAATAATTTTATTTAAAAGTGGGAAATTTCTTTAACTAACATGAGAATTTGGTATGTGTATCTGTCAAAAGAAACCTGCAAGAAGAAAAGGATAATATTCTTATTTGTAGCTTGTGGGCTATTGTTGGGCCTACACAGTGCGGTGGGCCATCTTGTAGACTCAGCCTCTAACACTGAGCCAAGTTTGTGTTACTTTTTTTTTTTTAAAACTTTTTTTTTTTCTCTCTAGAACAACCATGCAACGCGTTTGGATTAAAAAAAGAAGTAACGTTGTAAAAATCATTTATCCACCCTGAGGTGGCGTGCCGACCACCGCCACGTGTAGATAGTTATGGCCCTAATACACCGACACCTGAGGACTTTTTACTTTTTTTAAATAAGAAAATAAATTAGGCAATACGTTGAATGATTTGAGTGATCCACGTGGAATACTTCGCAGTTAAGACTTCAGTCATGGAAGCCCTACCGAGAGTGAAGGTAACACGTCAGAGGTGTAACGGTTAGGAAAAGTGGAAACGGTTAACTACCGAATGAATAACTACCCTACAAGGACCAATAAGAGAGTGCCACGTATACTGCGCGTAAACGCGTTTTGTAAATTGTTTATGTCGTTTAGTATGGTGAAAATAAATCCTCAATTATATTTTTATACTATTATATTTTTGAATAACATCAGTCAAAGGTTGCCTTTAGAAAAAACAAAACCAAAAACAAACCTTAGTCAAAGGTAATGTACAAGCTTAATCACATTGGGTCTTGTGGTGTAATAAATAATTGAATATAACATTTTGATTATAAACACTTAATTACACGAAAAATACCTCGTGTATTTATTAATTAATGTGAGAATAATATTGATAAAACTTGATAAATATATTTCTGGAGCATTTGGTTTAGTCCTAAAAGAAATGAGTTGCCAATCAGATGGTGATCTGGTTGGTCTTTTTACTTATGTGAAAAGTAAGATGTTTCGAGTTTGAGTCCTTCCGATCACAATTATTTTTACCAATTTGGTGAGAACGGGGCTTCCCTCTGTTGTGAATTTTTTCGGCTCATAAAAACCTCTAATGAATTTTTTTAATACATATATATATATAACAATGCTATCCCCATTTTGACAAATTTTTATATTTACATTTAATTAATATATTCATTTTGATCAATATAATAAAATAAGTTATTTCTAAATATTTGTTAACCAATAATTCTACCAAACATTTAACAACTTATTTTCAATCTAATTTATAATATATCTTAAAACAAATGTCAAAAGTAAGTATATAAACCAAACAATTTATACTTCTATCTATATTCTTATAAATTTAAGTATTATATATATATTTAATTTTATATAAAAATGAGCTTACAAGTTATTAATTTTCAAAATTACATTGAGATAAATTAAATACATTAGCTATAGTTATAATAATTTCAATATATACAATTTTAAAACCTAATGATCGACAAACTAGTCTTTATATAAGATTGGGTTTATACTAATTTTACTCTTTTTTTTATTAAACATATTTTCTCATATACAATTATTTATGCAATTTCCATAAATAAATTTTCGGTGTATGATTTTAATTATCATAAATAAAATTTTTAGGTAGTGCCTGCGAAATGAGGAAAGATCTTAATTAGTCATACTATAACATTAAACGTGTCAAGTGTATTTTAGTAATACGTGGTTTTGGTAATTAATTGATTGTTTAACTTAATTACAAGGTCTTGTGCTAATGTTGATGCTATAAATTACTAATAAATGTGATATAAGTTGTATTACCAATACGTGTCATTAGTAGTAAACTAGACCATCATAAGTGTAAGATTCGTGTATCAAGTAAATTGCTAAAAAAAAAAAAAAGGTACATGCAATTATGATTTAAATGTATTATATAGAATTAAAGATTTTTTCTTCTGATTAAAGCGAACATCACTTTTAAAATAACATGTGAAGGAAAATAAGAAAGTAAAAAAAAAATAAAAAGTTAAACCATAAGAGAACATCGAAAGGTATTGTGTTTATATATCATAAATTAGAAAATAATTTTTAAAGTAAAATCCACAAAAGTTATTAAATTAGAGAGAAAGGTAAGAGACATATATTTTCTCTTCAAAATCTTCAATTTTTCTAGTAAGGTCAAAATCAAATTCTCAATTTTTAGAGAATTTCACTCTCCGCAAAGAGAGTGTCACGTCAGCATCCATGATTCTTCTTTAGTTATAATAATAATGATATGATGAATCTGAGAAAAAAGCAATGCATAATACATAATTTTATTCCAAAACCCTTGCAAGAAAACTTTGTAACACCTTAAAATTTAAAATGATATTGTGCCAATTTAATTTTCACTTTTTGTAATAATGTCACACGTGCACTGGAAATAACAAGTTTTAAGATTTTTTTATTTTTTATCTAAAATATTAATTTGATATGTGGTTAATACAACTTTTGGAATAATAAATTTTATTTTTTTAAATATTCAATAAATATTTAATCAGTCTAATTTTATAAATTGAGGTATTCAATAAGTAAAATAAAGTGTTTAACATATCTAATTTTATCAGTTGAAGTGTTAAATGAGTAAAGTAAAAATGAGAGTATTACAAATTAAAAAAAAAATACAAAAGTGAATTTATTTATTGAGCAAAAAAAAATAGAGATATTAAAATAAAAGAGATCGTGAAATATAGAGTCAGGAGTTGTTATGTTTGGTTTCATTTGCGTTTTTTTTTTTTTTTTTTTTAAGAACTATTATAGCTGATATAAGGATATTAATTCTAAGTATAAGTTAAACAAACAAAAAGAAATAAAAAGTTAAACTCATAAGGTCAAACAATTTCGATAATTCGTGGTAAGTTGTGTTTTATAACTTTTATGATCATACACAATATAGAAAAAAAATGTATTAAAAAGTAAAAATTTCCTTCAACTAAAATCA